GTTTTTTTTTTTTTTTTTTTTTTTTTCAGATAGCAAAGAGGAGAGAGAAATTGTTGAATTACATGCTCTTGCTGAGTGTAACACCGAGACTGCCAAACCTGTTCATCAATTTGGCATCGCCAATTGTGGAAATACCGTTTCATGTTTTCTTTCTGGCAACTGTTGGCCTCATTCCAGCTTCCTATATTACTGTTAGAGTAAAATCAATTTTATCTATTTTCATCAAATTTATGTGATACACGCATTTGATGTGACTTTTGTGTTGATAATTTTGTTTCTGTTAGGGTGGGCTTGCTCTTGGAGAACTGAAGCTGGTGAAAGATCTATACGATTTAAAGACATTGGTGGTACTGTTCCTCATCGGGTCAATTTTATTGTTGCCGACCCTTTTGAAGAGGAAACGAATATATGAACAAAGCTTGTTCTTTTACAATTCCTCCCGTGTTTTTGTGAAGAAAGGGGAGTGATTACGTGTAACATTTGCTTTTGTAACGGTACATTATCATCTACTGTGAGATAACAGCCCTAGTTTTAGGTGGTCTAACGCTTGAAGTATTGAATTTGAACCGATATACATTGTAATTCATTCACAGGGAAAGAAATCTGGAATCTGTACTTTTCTGAATATCAGAAATTATATACTTAACTAATACACTGGCAGGTTGAGATATATATCTTGTGGGCATGAAATCTTTTTCCATAGTATTTCTTTTGCTATGTGTAAGATGTGATGTATGATAATGAGAAAGCCGACACCTTTTGGAACCAGAATGAATCGAAACTATTTTACTGTATGCATCTTGGTGGGATATATACAGCAGATGAGTTGAGGTTTATCAATCCTCAAATATCAATCCAACCCCAATCAAAACAGGGATTTGTCTATATATTTGCACCTTCAATTTCATGGTATGATTTCTTGGTTTGACAACAAATGCCGCTAGTCTCAAAAAACCTCGAGCTTTCAGTGATCTTTGTCGATGTTTTACAGGAGAAACAACCATTGGGTATTCACAGACCTTACTTTTCTAGGTAAAACATTGACTAGTCAAAATGTGATGACTACAATAACCTTGAAAAATAGCCTTTTGTACACAAACCACCTCAATTTAACTGGAGGGCGAAATGAAAGAAAATGCCCAGCATTTATCAGTTGGCAACACAAAAATATGAATAGTTTTCTCGTTATTTCCCATTCATTTCTTGATTGAAGTTATGAGTTGGAATGTTTCTTCAAGGCATTTGTTTTTTCCTTCTATTTCTCTTTAATGGTTTAGAGCATCTCCAACGCTGTTTCAATTGCAGAATTGTAGGGGCCGTGCTTGGAAAGACTTCTGCAACCGTGAATTTTATACTTCTATGATGTGGGTTGAAAGAGAAACAATAAATCTAGAATTTTCTCTACATGTGAAAGGTTTGTTACACATGATGAGTCACAAATTATTTTAATATCAAAATAAAAATTAACTTAAATGCATTATTTTACACATATTCAAATATTTAAATTATCATTATACAATTAATAAAAAATAAAAGTTAAACAAATATAACAATATTTATATAAAGTTTATTTTATTTATTACAACATGTATCTAGTATTTACTAACATATGAACTAAGTTTGAAGATAGTTTTCAATATATAATCTAAGTCATTGATTAAATTATAGTTTGTTGGTATTTATTTGTACACACCTTTTCAAAAGGCATATTAATTTACATAAAAAAATAAAAATAAAATATTGATATATTTTCAAAATTATATTATAAATTTAATAATATATATTCAATTCGAGAATAGGGATTTTGTAATCTATGTTGACATAAGGTAGTGGTTCACAGCTCCTACTTCTATTCTAGGTATACGGCTTTGGATCTTGTTTACGGCTTTTGATTTTGTACTTGCGCTTTCTTGATAGTTCCACCAAATAAAGGGGAAAAAAAAAATTATTGTTCCACCAAATAAAGGAAAAATAAAATAAAATAAAATAAAATCAGTAACATGAACATTGCTTACTTTGAATAACTAATTTAACGTGGATAAGCTCTTGAAAATATGGTGATTTCCTGCTTGATTTCTTACATTTATAAATAAATTATTGGAGGGTTATTTTATGAACATAACAGTGCAGTCTAGAGTTACCTTTAGAAATAAATTATTGGAGAGTTATTTATGAACATGATAATCCTAGTCAATTTTTAGACTACAATTCATTTTCAACTTTAGAGATGCTCTTAGTCATTCGAGATTGGAGTATTTGCCAGTACCTAGGAAACTACACACAACCAATCTGCCAAATTTGGAGAAAAAATTCGAGGTCTTGCAAATAAAAAATGGTGGCCAAGAGAGGTACCTAAAAACTAAGAGTAAGAGATGGATATCCACAACTAGGGTTGAGTTCAATCTCCAGAACCATACCGAAAATCGGTTGAATTTGGTTCGAAGATTTTTATTTTCGGTACGATTCGTTTTGATATTCGAGAATTTGGTTCGAAGATTTTTATTTTCGGTACGATTCGTTTTGATATTCGAGATTGTCGGGAAAGTTAGGTTCAGTTCAGAGCTCTTAAGATTTCTAATTATTTTTCAATTTTTTTTGAATTACTCTTTAGTTTTATTTAAATTTTGATATGCTTATAAAAATCCAACATTCATCAGTACTTAACTATACTAAAAGTGTAATCGATATCAACTTTAGAAAATATAAAAGTAACTCAAAAATTGAAATTCAAACAAAATATAATATAATTTATTTAAGTATTTCTTTAACTTTTCATAATCATACCATTTTAATTATAAATGGAATAAGACTAAAAAAAGCATCAACAAATATAATATAAATACATTTTTCAATGAATTCTTGATCAAATTTATTAAGTACAAATTTGAAGTGAAGTTTATTCCTATTACTATATGTTGTTAAATATTTTAAAAACAATTAAATTAAATAGGATTAAAGTTGACATGAAATATATGAACATGACACATCTAATATAATAACTGAGTTCTAATTCTAATTTCTGTTCTTTGGCTCGATATGGTATGAGGTGATTCAGTTAAGATATTTGTGAAAATCTCGTGACAAATTATTTTTTCAGTTCGACTCGGTTAGGAGAAATTTAAACTACGAACGGTAGATTTTCGTTTGAACTCAATTCGCTTCTATTTTCGTAACAATTCAGAATTCTCAAGTCTTGCTTAACCCTATCCACAACCACATATTTTACACACAAGTTGCAGTAGCAAACTTTATTGACGTGTCAACCAAGAGCGTGTACAAGATACCATTTATTTAGTACTTAGAGCATCTTTATCAACAAAACCTCATAAACCCCTTTTTATATTTTCCAATATGTCACATCATCCAAAACCTCATTCTTACTTCTATACTCATAAACCTCAAATAACAATAAACCCCATAAACCTCTTTTTATGGGTCCCACATGTTTCCCACTTACTTTTAATTTAATATTACATTCTTATATTTTTATATAAATTATTATTGAACTTTTTATTTTTATTCAATCAAAATGTTACATTTATTCATCATAAATACATATAAAAAAATAATATAATTATATATAATAAACAACATTAATTAGAATAAAAATTAAAGTTTATAATTTGATAATTTGAAATTATAAAGTAATAAATAATATCATAAAAACGTTAATTGGTATTATCAATTTTTTAGTTATATTCTAAATATTATATTTTAATAATTATGTATATTAATTAACTTTTATTAAATTATTATAAGAAAATAATTTTTATTAAATTGTTATAAACAAATAAACCATAGTTCTTAATATAAGAAAAAAAAAAACGAATACAAAAATAGAGAAGAAAAGTAAGTGGGTCATCCACTTTGAATATATATTATTGTTTAATAAGGTTTGAGAGAGGTTTACATTTGCAAACCTGTTATAAATTTATAAACCTTAAACCTATGAAGTTTAACAGTAAAACCTTGGAGTTGGGGTTTGTAAACCTCCACAAAAGCTCTTACTAAAGATGCTCTTAGATCTAATATTACATAAGAGGCGCATTCATTAAGTAAAACTGGAACAACATATGGCGACAAGACATCATTACTATTCACTTCGAACTTGCCTCTTTCAAGGTCCAGAATGCAGCTGAATAGTTTGACTTTTGACGACCTGAAGAACGCCCGGTTGTTCTACCCAAAAGAAACAGAAATAAAAAAAGGAAAAATCAATCAGTGCTCATAACAAACTAATTTGGTGATATACAAACCAAGGATAAACTTGAAGCCAACTTTATGCACAGATTAGTCAGCATTGGAAAGGAACAGACAAAAACGATAATCACGTCCAACACTCAACGATTCAACAAGGATAGAATGTGTGATCTTTGTATGCACATGAAAACAAAATAAGGAAGAAGAAGAAAAGGCTTCCATGTATCCTAGTCGATTACCAATTTTACTCTACTGTGTAGAGGCTAAAACATGTAAATGTTGAGATATTTTCCACTCGAGCAAAGATGCTAAGCACAGGATCTTTTTATGGAGAATATTACAGTTTAGTGCAAACACAATTGCACCAAAAGTAGAACAAAACGGCAGCAACTCATAATCCACACAAAACCATTGAACAACTTATTATTTGCAAATGACACAGTAACACAACTCAGTCATGCTTGATCATAACCCCAAAGATAAAAAGAAGCAATGACAGTAGTTATAAATACTGAAAACTTACTTGAGATCTCATCAACCTGCTCGGCAGTCAGTGTAGCAGAGAACCCACTTGCAGCATGCTCATAGATATACAACAAAGCACGCTTTGCAGCATCCTCACTGATCATTCAGCATAGACAAATATAAATCGATTCACTAATTTTTTTTATCAAGTTAGCAAAAACTAAGAATAAGCCCCTAGAAATATTCAAGACCCATTTCATATAAAGCAATTCTCACCCAAGCATGCCTCAAATTCACCATTTTCTATTCTAAATTCAAACAATCATATCAAAAATCCAAAACACCCATAAAATGCCTAGGGATCGCTAAAAAAACTGAACTTTATCACACTGTAAGCTATACACCCTTTGCAGGATCCTCACTGTTAATCACAGAACAAAAAACAATTCGCTATTTTTTTTTTATAATAAAATTAAGAAAAGGCCCTAGAAAGATTCAAGACCCATTTCATATAAAGCAATTTGCACCCCAACTGCACGCTCTAGATTCACCATTTTCCATCCTCAGTACGAAAAATCGTATCAAAAATCGAAAACACCCATTTAAGCCTAGGGATCGCTTAAAACTGAAACTTTATTACACTGAAACAGAATTTTAATGTACAACTAATCACAAACAAAATACAATGAAAAAAGATGTAACGTATGAAAAAGAAAACATTAAAACCTGCCAACAACAGAGGCGAGAGTTTTGATATGATACGCCTCCGGCTCCTGGCCTTCAGAAACCCTTTCGGTGTAAACTATGTGAACTTCAGCCTTAGATGAAGATAGATTATCCGCCATAGATGGGATCAAGAACAAGAACACGAAGAAGAACAGTGATATTTGCGTGACCAAAATTAAATGGGAAAGCTTGTTTTCCTGCATCACCGCCTTCCTTGTCAATGGATATTTAAGGGCTATTTGTGAATTTGGGTTCAAGATCAGATCGGAAGTAGTCTTGGTCGTCTTGGACCTTTCTCTGTTAGTTGGGGTTATGAATCGTACTGGGCAAAAGTTCAAACACAATATTCAATAAAGCAACGATACAAAATTTATTATTATTTTTTCTATTTTTTTTAATTTTTTTGTAGGTATTTAAAATATAAATTTTATTATTTATAAGTTTATAAAATAATATAAATATATACGATCATATGGTATTTGAATATAAATTACTTACTAGTTACTAGTAATCAACCTGTGCATTTACACAGAATAATACTTAGAAAAGATAACAATATAAAAAGAAAAAATAAAAATAAATCATAATTTAATTCATGAAAAAAAATATGAATTAAGAAAATAATTCTAAATATTATTTAACACTTGCATTATTAAATATTTGGGCCGAAATTATCTATTGAACAAAATATTGCATTATAAACAGTTGCTGAATTGGGTTAGATAACATCTTAAAAAAAATGTGGTGAGTTGGACTTAATATTTTATTAAAAACTTGTAAGGATGTCTTGGACCGATTTTTCGGCTATTTGTTTAATGAGCCCGATTTGGTAAAGCCCAAAAAAATTAATTTTTCAAATTGAACTCAATACAATTTTTTTTAACAAAAAAAAAAAATAATTAGGCAACTGGTAAGACCGATTATCAAAAAAGCGTTACAAAATCCTTGACTTAAATCATCCGAACACTCTATAATTCATGCTCATTTCTCTCTTATTATCGGCGGATCACAGGTTTTTTCTCTCTGACAAAAATATCCAAGATCTCATTTTTTCTTATCAATTTTTGTCAATAATCATGTCTTTTTCCTTATTTTTCCGGCGCGATATTCCGATCAAATTCTGATTTTTTTTTTCAAAAAATAAAAAATTTCAAACAAAACAGAGATATAACATCAAAATCATTTCGATTTTACAATTTCATTTTACCAAATCATAGTAAAACTTGCAAATCGGACGATTACATAACATATCAATCAAGATTTGAAATTTTATGTTTTGATTTAAGGTTGTCGTCCCTAATTTGCTAAAATACTTCAATGAATCATAAGAAAGTGGTTCAATAGGGCGATTATAGTACATATCTATCAAGATCTGTAATCTTTTTTAAAAGTTTTTCTTTTTTAAATCGTGTTTTCAGTTAATATGCTCATAAGTATTTGTTGTTTGTTAAACTTATAGTTAATTAATTATTTCATTTTTTCTTTATTTTGCAGGAACCAAGACAAAAGCTGACTGGATATTGATATTTTTTAAAATTTTATTTTGTAATTTAATTTCTTGTATAATCTTTGCATCTAAAATGAATATATATATATATATCAATGTTTACACGATTTCTGCCAAATAAAATCAATTAAAGTGCATGACTTGAGGTGGATGATTACTGCACCTAATAAGTCTAAAATTCTTGGAGGAAAAGAAAAAAAAAAAAAAAGCAAATAAAAAATAGAATGAGAGTTGGTTTATTGGTTCGTGCTTATTGTATTTTACATGTGTAGTGGGCCACATTCGGCTTTTTGCACGTGTATGTAGAAAGAGGAAGCTTTGATTGAGAAAATCATGTGTAGGATAACTTGGGATGGGTTTTTGTTTTGTATGGATTCATCTCGTGGGTAACATGTTTTCGAATTTGAGTTCGATTCTTTGGTTTACCAGATGATAAGGAGAGTCTCATATTCGCATGATTGTTAACCTTGGACCATTCGATGTTTCTTTTCGAGCTACTTATTATTTTGTTTGCTTGAGGACAAGCAAAAAGTAAGTGTAGGGGAGTTGTTTATTTTGTTTTTGTGCTTATTTTCGTGTGTTTTATGT